TCCATTCAAAACACACATGGATGTTTTTGTGAATTTTTTTATTCCTTCACGTTCCCAGTGGAACATAGGGCTTCAAGCGAGAGGCTTGAAGTTTCTGTAGCAGTGTTTAATTTTACAGGATGGGATTGCTAGCCGCATGCCCAACCTTTCCTCTTTACCGGCTTTATTTCTGGCTTATTGAGGTAAAGGAGTGCGCCAGCCGGGAATCGAACCCCGGACCATGTGCATGGTCGGCGAGCGTCCTAACCGCTATGCCACAGACGCACATTTTTGTTAATGCGAAGACAATATTTCTATATTTTTTGATGTGCACCACTGAATGACTAGTTAGCAGATTGTTACCCCCAAACTAAAGCCAAAAAAGATGTCAACCATGTGATTTCATCATAAACCAAATATATTTAATTTAAATAATACTTATCCATACCTGTACAACTTGTGTCCTGCATAGGTAGGGATAAATATATATTTTACTGCATCATTATTACGAAATATGCTTACGTATCGCATATGTAATTTATCATATTGGTGGTGCCTGTAAACTGGCGTTCCTCGTGTACAAAAAGTGAGAATGTATTATTAAAGAAACATAATGGATAGACTCTAGCCACAGAGTGACCATAATCTATGTTCACGCAGGTGTTGTTGAACTAACTCGCCTCTGTCTCTAAATCATCAGAAAACATATGGTTGGCCCAGGGAGTAGAAGCGTACTGCGACGTGATGGACATTCATTTGGGCAAATAATGCCGTAAGAGTTACTTTGTGCAAACACTAGTATATGTGTTAGGCCTCAATAAGCTGCAGTAGAAATAAAGATCACGCAGTTAATAGATCATGGCAAATTTTTTGCAGATACTGGACTTTTCTTAATCCATTACGTGCGATATATGCGTTCAACTTGATTACTAAAAGTTAAATAACGTAAACCATATTTGGTGGTTAAAAACTTCCCGTAATTCTTAGTCGACAAATCAATTGAAATGAACTGGTTGTCATCCGGAACACGCAATGGATGGCCAGGAAAGAAGCGATTACTTAGCTTCGCTGGATTAAAATAGGGTGAAGCGAGGTTGTCAATGGACGTGATCATTGGACATTTGTTCTTGGAACTGGTAGCCATTGTTAGGCAACTCGAATGCGCGAATGGTTTGATCGTGTACAAGTTCGACGAGGACAACCGAAAACGAATATAAGTACTTCGTAATTTTGTATAAAATATTTGTTTACAGACTTTTACTGCTATCCGTTTTAATTGCCAAACAATATAACTTGCTTCATACAATAATGGTGTTTTGGAGTTAAAGTCGAAGAAAGTACATAGTTGTCAATGTAGTTGAAGATTGAACGATCAATTCATGGTTGTTTGCTCAAAACCAACTTCCCCAATTTTCGCGGAGGCATCAATACGACAGTCATCGTCTCATCGGTCGCTGTTCAGAAAGAAGTCAGCAGAAACCGTCAGAAGTAATATTGTGATTTATTATTGTAATATTTGTTCACAGACCTTAGTTGTAACAGTGTTTATATGTTGGTGTTATAATAAAGAATCCTCGAGTCGCCAATTGGTGTTTTGGTTTTTTCGTCCGTTATTACTAAGCGTTTCTGAGAAACTTCAAGGAACAGCGTGAGCCCGAGTGCAGGAAGTGCTGGGCATTAACGGTTTACGAGACGTGGCTGACAATAGTATTTATCGGTGTGGAGCGTCTTTGTAGCAACAGGAATTTAGGGACAAGTTCCTTGACAGTTTTTATTCGTTTTCTGTAGCAGTTTTATTCCCCTGTTTGTTTTCTGGAGCGCCATCTGGCACTCCTCCGGGCGTACCTACCGCGTCTAGAGCCAGCATCTTTTTGCACGGATTATCATCGCAATTTGGATCCTTTGTTGACGTAGGATAATGCCTGGGACAAGGAAGGGACGTGGCACCGTAGAAACAGACAAAGTAAGTGGCGATGAGTTGCTTTTTAATCGTAATGATTCGCATGATGCTCAGCATGATGAGTCTGATGTTCACGCTTCGCCGTTTAGGGATAGTAGTACTTTAAGACACTCTAAGTTTGAATCTCCGTACTTTGATGGAAACCCAGCCGACTACCCACAGTTTATCAAAGAGTTTGATGTCATGTTGAGTGAGTTTGCAATAAATGACGAGATGAAGTTAATGTATTTGTTGAGGTATTGCACTGGTGTTGCTGCATACAGTGCTGTAAGGATATACAGAGGATATGAGGATACTATGTCAAAGGTTTGGAAAGCCATTTATGATATCCCGTAGTATCTTTGACACCGTGAAAGGTAATGGATCACAGTTAAACGATAATTCAGAGGAACTCGCAGAGTTCTTGGACAGAGATTACCAGTTCATCTGCAAAGAAAGTTCATAAAGATCAGGTCCCGTCTGAGAGTAGGGTATGCAGCCCGGGTTGGATGATATTGTGAGCCTGGTGTAAGAGAGTGTCAACCGAGCTTTGAGCGAGTTTGCCATTATACTGCATCCCACTCCTGCAAAAGAGAAATCAGAGAGCAAAACGCAATCATTTATGACGAAAGGGTTTCAGAGAAGTGGATATCGAGAAAACTGTATGTTGTCTAGTAATCCATACATACCTAATGAGTGTAACAGCTTTTGTGGGACGTCCCCAACAGATAAATTACAAGCTGCGAGACAAACACGTTCGTGTTTCATCCGTTTGCAAGAAGTGCATACAGAGGCGAATTGTGAAGCAGTAAGAAAGTTCAGTGGTAAGCTAAGTGTGAAATCAGCGTCATCTAGTTCTGACTCCAAATTGTGTGACGATAATGGTGCAGTGAAGAGGCCCGTAGTTGCAACCGGTAGGCCATTGTTGAATAGAGTGTCACAGACGACACCGCAGTTTGTGCAGAAGAAGGGAGTTACAGCTTCAGAGTGCAGTTCTGACTCCACAAGTTCACAAGGTATCACTAGTCAGAGTAAAGGTATAAAACCTTTAAGGATTTGTGAGGAAGAACCCAAATTGTCTACTGCTGTTATTAAAGAGTTTGAAAATAATGAAGTCAATCATACAAAGGGGGGCAAAGTGGATATTTTTGACAATGATCATGATAGTGCACATTTGTCTTTGACTGATCATGATGAGATGAACGTAATGCCTGCTACTTATGAGTTGGGCAAAGGCTCTGTGCGACTTGAACGTGTATTAGAATTAAAGACGGATGGGGTTGCAGAAGGCATGGATACTCATGAGACCACCAGTGTAAATGATCAGCGTGTAGCCCACCTACCAACAGATGCTAGTACTAAACCTGAGCTAATCATAAAAAATAGCAGTGGGGGTAATCCTGCGGTTAGACAACCTTCTAAACGTCGAACAACAATAGCTTTTGATGCACCGCTAAGTTCATCAGTTGGTATCAATCAGTCGTCGTTGGTATTGTCATCCACAATGAAAGGGATGTCCATGAACTCACGTGTCTTGTGCTATTACTATGCTAGTATCGGTCCGATTGAAAGGATGAATGTCAATGGTCAGTTTAGTGGGGATAAGCCAACTATGTATGATAGTGTAATTGCTAAACTGACTTGCACGAATAAAGGCCTTTCAAGTTTCAAGTTGCTATTTGAATGTTATTATCTTTGGTGTAAATTACATTTTCTGGATATTTTGAGCATTTTGAGAAGAGAAACGTTTTCTGTATATATTCCACTAGGTCTTTGTATTTTGCCTTTAATTGTGAGGTTCACTCTCTGAGCAGCAGCATTAACGTGTGATTTGTGAACTGTGGGAATAGCATTCCAACTTTGACATGAAATCGAATGCTCAAACAGATATATTGCATGCAGTTGGAATATGTTAACATAATATTCCGTTGGCAGACATTGTCTGTATCACACTAACACAACATTACCAAAAGTAGTGTAAACTATTCTCTTGATAAAAGTTATATCTCTAATTACTTGCGTCACTTCTCGGCTCAATTTCCTCATACAACTACAAATCAGAAACGAAAGAAAGCAAACTGCTCAAAATGTATTGCGAAAGCACCTTCCGTATTCATGATACAATTCTTTTAACAAAGCTTTCCTGATTGTTTGCCGAAAAGAAATGACCGAAAAATAACCGAATGTTCACATTTCTTCGGTCCACTACAAGTGGGCCATCGGAGAATAGCTTCGGACTGAGCTAGGTAATAACACAACGATAGATATAGGAATACCGATTTATTTGGATGGCAATTTCTGCAAACTGCATCACCAATATGCTTGTCTATCAATGTCCGTAGATTTATTGTTTGTTTCACTCATTCCTTCAGGATGATTCTCATGGCAGTTCTGCAGTCCTATCTTCTCTTTCTGCTGTTCATCTACAGGTGTGTTCAAGTTCAGAAGGATTTTTATCATTTCATTTTCCTGCCCAGACGAACTGACTAAACTGTATAATTATTAATTCCGAACCCCACAGTTGCACTGTGTTAACATAAACGACAGACAAGCCAGCGATGTTTTCGGAGAGTATCAGGGACACAACAAGAAAAATGACCACATAAAAATACATCAGACTACCAGCACCATTTAGCTCTTTGTAATTAATCCGCCATCCAGAAATCAATTCTGTTTACAGTTAGTAGGAGGATTCTGCTTAGTAGATAAGCTCTCACTAATCTCATCTGAAAATTGTCTGAGTTAAATAAAAAGCTAACTATTTACTATTTGCATTTAATATTGGTGAAATACTAATCAGTTCATATTCATTTTTGCATTCAGACAACTCAAGTGCCTATGGGGATAAGTCTACAATCTCACCAATGCATTCGCTAAACCAGTATGTACAAAATATACGAGAAAACGAAATTTGAATTTTTAATACCAGAAGAGATGTCCTTGGTTGTTTAAATCGTCAACTTACAAATTAAGGTCACACAAACGTTTAAAAAGCATTCGTAGTATTCGTGCACTGATATCGTGGTTCTGTTGAGGAAGCCAACTTAAAACTACAAAGCAAAGGCGCTTACTACTGTATAGAATGGGAGGCTATCGTGATAACTCTAGCAGTGATGAGGATAAGAGACGTCGACGAGGTTACTGCTATAACACAAATGTTAGTTAATGGAATATATATATATATATATATTTGTACGTATGCTTTGCAAAAACTACACAAGACAAAACAATAACTCTTCAATCACACCTATGTTCCACAAACAAAGATTTCGCATGAATACCCAGCTTGCATTATTTTCGGGTGCACTGTATAATTCGGGACAAAAACTTAAGGCGCATAAAAATACGTGGGACGGTGTCCCTAATCCTGCCCTAAACAGTTTACAATGTGCCCTGATGCTGCCGTAAACCGTGTGCAATGTGTCCTAAGTTTGCTCAAAATTCTGAAATGCGCCCAAAAAAATGCTAGCTGGGTAGAAACGCGTTCAATTCACTACCTCTACTTTGCATAGATGCTTTTTATATTTTACAATTTCAGCAATGAATTCAGTGTATATTTTTCTTTTGCTTTCCCGAGCTTGATGATAGCTGTTAAACAACGAACTTACGTGATTCTGCTATTTTCATTTCAGCAGATCTATGGTGTAGGAAATCCAGCGTACGGTTATCCACAACAACCAGTTTATAATTATGGTGCCAGAAGACATAGTGGGAGTTCGGACTCGGTAAGAGGACAACAGTGTTGCGAAGCGTTTAATAGATTTTATCTATCTTGTTTGTTTGTAAAACTCACCTAGACCAGGCACATTTATATTTCAGTATACACCGGGAGAAGCTTTTTGGTATTTTTTAGTTACATCATAAGTTTAAGAACAGTGCACATAAAAATGATTAACATCTTTTAATATGTGTATTATCACTCTAACAGTTTGAACCTAAGCATTGGATTTCAGTCATCAGAAACTGAAATGAAGAGAGGCTAGAATAAACAATTGTATTCATACAGATATAGTGATATTTCCTGTTAAAATATGTTCATCACCGATTAAATGTCAGCGAGCAAGCGTAATTGTATCTTTGTATGATCTTAGGCATCAATAAGAAATATGTTCCTCCTTGAATGATCTCCACCGCCAAAATGATTGGTACTCAGAGGAGCTTTTCTGTCAAACACAACAAAGTGATTATTACCTCACCCATCATCACGAAGACTATTGATCTTATAATCGGATGCACAATTTGCAGTTATATGTTCATTGTTAAACTTTAATATGAAGAAGACCTGTTCGCAGTGATTACTGCTGGAATAATTTGTTATTATTTTCATCTTAGGACCATTCGGATCACCAAAGAGGATATTCACGGTACCGAAAGTATGTTATTTTTGTACTTTTGCTTACTTCACATTTTTTCAGGCTTATAAATAGCATAGAGCTTCTGTTAAAAATGATCTAGTCTTATCTAATCATTTGTCGAAAGACTGCAAACTATTTATTGGAGATAAATATTTGGCAAAAGAGATGTTGTGAGAATGAGTGTCGCTTTTCATCATGTCGCTTCTGATGAACAGTAAAGTTCTTTGTCTAGGGTGCTTAAACTATTTTTCTCGATTATAAGCTGCCATCTTACTGCTAGGAGAATACTCGTTTGGCCAATTTCGGAAATATTGTGACCACTATCAAATGTTTGCCTGTGCTATTCCCCCAGTTATCAGCGTCTTAAAACGGCCCGAAGTTGTGAAGAATATTACTTTTTCAATCGTTTCTTCCGTTCTGAGTAGAACATGAGGCTGAAGCGGCATATCTCTACCGCATTCTGTTTTAATGATCATTTTCAGCTGGATTCACGAATGTCTTAAAAGCTCCACCAAGAAACCCTCGGACACTCAACTAAAGATATTATGTGTGATTTCACATGAGTGTCTCTTCAGTTAATATGTAGTTCATCTCTATTTCCTTCTGCATATCTTTTTAGCAATAGTTTTGAGGTTGTTTCGGTAGCGGCGGCAGTTTCTTGTCACTTATTATTACTTGCTGCGCAACAGATCTTCAACATTGAGCGGATGCTGTTGCTGACGAAAGTCTGCAGTGACCTTTCGTAAATACATTTTGTGATGCACTGCGCCTATAAAGCACACAGAAGCACTCATTGACTTTACACTAGTGTTAAAACATCGAATTTTGTCCATTATGTTAAGCTGTTCAGATTTCCACAGTGACTTCGGTGTAATGATTACCTATCTTACTTTCTCACGTTGATCCTTCCTGGTCTTAACACCCTCGTTGTCGCTGCCTGTAGTTAAAATGATGCTACGCAGGTCAGATTAGTAAAAGAGAAGAATTGCTTTAGATTTCTCCAGCTGATAGTGATTTGTACTTGTTGTTGTTGGTCGATTATCGTCACTACTTGCCTCCTCTATGTTCACTGAATCGATATCTTCATCTGTACTCTCATCACTATAACGTATATTATTATTATATCCATCTGCTGCATAATCCAGTATGCCACAGATTAAAACCATCTGTGTGAGAATGCAGGGATGAAGAGTAGAACTTTCGTGACAAAACAGCTCTAAGCTAGCTGTACGAATGTTTTGTCTGATATTCTAGAATATACAATTAGTATGCAGTAATGAAGACTTTAGAGATGCTCTGCTGAATCCATTTACCCATTCGGACCCCAGAGGAATAAAAGTGATAACAATGATAATGATGTGATGTTTAGTGTTATTAAGTATAAAATAGACTGATCTCAGAAGTGACCGCAGACACATCAGCCAAATCCATACTTTTTGTAGGTTCTGAAAAACAAACATTTTCAAAACTCTAATTAAAAATGAAGCTTCAAATCAGGTTATGTAAAAAGACCAACAGAAGTTCCTCAAAAGCCAGTTGTGCATGAAATGTAGCTGTTTACTGTAGAATGAGATTGAACAAAGTCAAATGCATTGGACTGTGATACGGTAATTGTTCATGAATACGTGCACTGTTGGTTCAGAATCATAAAGAGACTTGTGTCTTGTAGTTGTACACTTCATTAGATCTATTTGGTAATTTGTTGCAGTGTGATAAACGGATTCACTCTTCTTACTTTTCATATTGTTAACTGCATTGCCGACTATTATTTACTGATTTAGGTAGAAATGAAGCAACAAAACACATTATGTGAGTGTGTAGATTACTTTCCGTTTATATCTACGGTTGGCCATTTCAGTCTTGAACCAAGCAAAATGACTTACATTTAGAAAACTACATAGTATAAATACTGTCACTAATATCTAGTACCCCAATATAATTGGTTTCCATGGAACATTTTGACTTCAACTTTGATTTAAGTAGACGACAGTGATGGTCATTTCAAAGCATTTTGATTTGAAATCCATACTTTTAACTGCATAGTTTAATCCGATTGTTGTAGTTATGAAGATGAAGTCTGTACCTACCCACAGAGGTGACTAAGAAACCAGCTTATGTTTGTCGCCTAATAGTGATTATTGGAGATAATGCAAGTGAAAATTTAATTAATTTGCACAAGAAATAAGGTTTTAAACATAATGACTACACGGTTTGTAATTTACTTATATTTCAAAGTGTGGACCACATTTTGTAAACTGAACATGCTGTTGTACGACGGTAGTTAATTTCATGTTTAATGGTTTCGTGAGGGTGAAGTCGTTCAGCATTTAGCAGTCACTCTTGTAGTCAAGACTTTTACCTCCTCTCCAACAAATGATTTTAACCACTTCTAAAGTAATCCTCATTTTTTATCTTTCTATCACGATCTGAACTTCATCTTATTGCGTTGACTACTGTAGCATTAACGTGTTCAGAGAAGATAAGCAATGTTTCGAACTCTACAATGAATCTCAACTTTAAAATACAATTTTATTAACAATGTTCCTCTGCTGAATCTTTTGTTAATATAGCCAAGGAGGGTATGGCGCAAATTATCGACATTACTCAGGTGATCGTCATTCAAGTTCTGAGTGAGTGATTCACTAACATAAATTTCATAAAATATTTGACCTAACCTTACTACACCCTATGTGACTGAAGTATACGCATAACTAAGATACAGTTTGATGTGTAAGACTATAATATAACTATAAATGATACCACTAGCTGGTTTGTTTTATCTTACGCAAAATTTCCTGTGTATTTTTTAATTAAGGCTCCTAAAATACCATTTTCTCTCACCATATAATCGTTAAAATGTTTGATCCCACATATACGTGTGCATATCACAATTTCTTCTTATAAATTCTTGTCTCTGTCAAATTCAATGTTTTGGAGTTCAAAACAAACAGTGAACCTTTTGATTATAATGATTATGGAAAAGCATTCATGCTTTAGAAGTTCCTGGTATGATGTCAACAAAAGTTTGTCATTTGAAGAAACTATGCCTGGAATACAAAAGCATTTATTCATAGCGTCAATTATATATGCTCATCATTGAGTTGTATTGATTCGTTTTGGTAAAGTATTACAACTTTACAGTGGACCTATATCTGATACACCGAAATCAGTGTGATCCAGCTATGACGGAAGATGTAACAAAAGCGCAAATTGCATGACGACTTTTAGCCGTTGACCTGACTGAAGATTCTGCTACAGGTTCAGTCATCACTGACTTATATATATATATTTTTTTTTTTTTTTTTTTTTTTTTTTTTTTTTTTTTAGCTATGTAAACTGGGGATGTAAAGAATAGTGATTTTTGAACTCATATTGCTATATATATTTCCAAAAAAGGTAATATTTTTGAACACATTACATTCTAGTCGAATACTGAGACTACTGTCATTTACTTTTATATCACTTCTTTTGTACAGTGAAGGGAAACGAAGCAGAAGATTTTACTAAGGGACACTTATTACCTACAACCATTACTGGGTGTTCTGTGAGTTCATCTTTTCCCGTCATTGTTATAAAGTCTTTTTTGAAGATTAAAAATGTGTACATCTTTTCATATCATCAAATGAATATGTAATTGGGATAGGGTTTTATAGCAAACAGCTAAAATCTCTTGATGGTGGTGTATTTCGGGGTTCACTGGATGAATGACTTCTTTGTTCAGACTTCAAAATTATTACTGGTTCATGGGCCTGATTGCCCAGGTACTAAAACAATCAGCATGCGTAGTAATTCTTGTTCCTTGAGACTGATGTGTTGTGTTCAGAAGAAAACAATAATCACAAACTGGTGCACAGGGATATTACCGGTTGCCTACTTAATGTCTACTCTTCATCTTACAACTTATGAATACACACAATCAAATGAATTTTTAGTCGTATAAAACAGTGGAACAGTAGGATGCTGACAGGTAAGCATTATCCGAAAAATACTGGTACTTTTGACTCAGCATGATAGAATTTTAGTAATATATGCAGACGTTCACCTCTCGTTATCTTCCATTGAGTTTGGTGTTTCTGACCCAACAAAATCTGCTAAGACAATAATGTGAAAACCATCTATTCATATATTTACAAAGTCTCATTCCATCATTTCATTTTAAAATAGTTTGACTTGGTATTTACTAAAACAGTACATCTTACGTTGTCGTTGACTACGACACCTGAAGTGCTCGCATCATAAGCACACCAGTGACTTAATTAGTGCCTACTCTTTAGACTATAGTGGCACTCAAAAATCCGTAATATTAGAGGTGTAAATTAGATATTTCCTAAGTCAGATTCAGAACCCAAAACGTGTTACATCTGCTATAATTGCAACAGTAAACTCTAAACTTAGCCTTCATATATACCCAAGTAAAATGCTTACTAATTGTCACTTCACATTTCAGACAATGAACGATAACCCGAAGGGACATTAAACAAACAATCAAATGAAAAACTCAAACCAAAAAAAATACATCATATATAACACATATATCACATATTTATAAAACCCAATTTCTGTAATAATAATATACAAAATACAAAAAATTAAACCTTAAAATAGTATTCTCATTCAAAAAAAATATTCAAATTGTAACAAGAGAAAATAGCAAAAATAGCAAAAGAAACTCGATAGAAAGCTAAAAGAATGACAAAAGAGCGAAACATATCAGAATAAATGCAAAAAAGTAAACAGATAAAGTTTGCAATGATCACATTCGTGATTGAAGACGCCTCGCTTGAACACTTCTGTTCGCCACAACTTCATATTGCACAGAAATGATAACACAGGTTGTCAATAACAAGTGAATGGACAACCTACTGAGACCTGTCAGTCTCGGAGTCTCAGTCTGATTTGCATTCGACTGAACTGAGCTTGCATAGAGTGGGATGAATACACGTCAGTCCGACTGACGACCACAGTGTGTCTCATCCAGCCGGCTTCATTCCCATCTACTCGAATCCAGACGAGACGTGATCGAACGTCAAATGTAGGCGAGTGACAAGAGACATGTGTCACCAACTCAGGCGACACAATGACAAATCACTTGGTTATTGGAATGAAATGAAAACACCACTTGTAGCCGCTTATAGCATTTCTTCGAGTTAAACACTGAAATGTCCAACCATCAGTCATCACCTTGAGTTCGACCGAGTACAATCGTCAGTCGAAATGCAGACTTTGCATCAACCACATACTTCTCATACACAAACACAAGAAGCATGTGACTCGCTTACCGATGCCAACTCCATCATATCAGTCATGACGTTGACGAAAATCACATCTGTATCTCGTTCCCACTACTCCATACGACATCCTGGCTAACCGATATCGTGGCTCTTCAAGATTATATTCCACTGTCACAACTGAACCATGCAAAAGGCAACATTCCGGTGTGTACTTTTTATCCAAATAAGCCTGGTTTACATGGACATGTGAGTAAGACATAGCCTGTACAACCTACACTAACCTTAAACTCCACGAATATCTTCGAACAATCCAAGTGTTACCCAAACAGCACTTGATTGACAAGCTATGGACACGCAGTCGCCTATAAACTCGTCAAAACTCAGTGACATGAGAGAACACTGCGAGTGTGATCTGTTCAGGATGAATTTGATGCAGTCAATCGGAAGCCCGCTGCTTCTGACGAATGTGAACTGCCAAATTCCAGTGATATTTCCGTATTTCGAAGTCACACAGTGGCACTTCCATGAGGTAGAAAGGCGGAGAGAATTACGACCAGTGAGAATGCAATATGTTGAAGGAATGTAGTTCCACTCACTCTCATGTGAATTCGAAATAAAACTCTGAACGAATTTGTGTGAGAAGCATACGGAGGAGAGAAATAGTTGTGTTCACGTCTAGTCAGATGACTGCATCACAAGTGTAGGAATGGATGATTCATTTGTTGCAAGGTTTATGATTGAATAGCAATTAGAACAAGCATCTGCCTCCCTACATCTTGTTTCACCTTCTCTACTTCATCACGCACAAAACAGTATGTTGGAACACGGCGATCACGTGGGTGTGCAGAGTGTGACCAGTTCGATTTAGAAATTAAACTGCACCACACGATATACAGATATGATAGCTGAAACCAAGACACAGATATATCCCTGTAAACCTCTTACACTGTCTAAGTGACCAGACGAAGTTGCAATGATCACATTCGTGATTGAAGACGCCTCGCTTGAACACTTCTGTTCGCCACAACTTCATATTGCACAGAAATGATAACACAGGTTGTCAATAACAAGTGAATGGACAACCTACTGAGACCTGTCAGTCTCGGAGTCTCAGTCTGATTTGCATTCGACTGAACTGAGCTTGCATAGAGTGGGATGAATACACGTCAGTCCGACTGACGACCACAGTGTGTCTCATCCAGCCGGCTTCATTCCCATCTACTCGAATCCAGACGAGACGTGATCGAACGTCAAATGTAGGCGAGTGACAAGAGACATGTGTCACCAACTCAGGCGACACAATGACAAATCACTTGGTTATTGGAATGAAATGAAAACACCACTTGTAGCCGCTTATAGCATTTCTTCGAGTTAAACACTGAAATGTCCAACCATCAGTCATCACCTTGAGTTCGACCGAGTACAATCGTCAGTCGAAATGCAGACTTTGCATCAACCACATACTTCTCATACACAAACACAAGAAGCATGTGACTCGCTTACCGATGCCAACTCCATCATATCAGTCATGACGTTGACGAAAATCACATCTGTATCTCGTTCCCACTACTCCATACGACATCCTGGCTAACCGATATCGTGGCTCTTCAAGATTATATTCCACTGTCACAACTGAACCATGCAAAAGGCAACATTCCGGTGTGTACTTTTTATCCAAATAAGCCTGGTTTACATGGACATGTGAGTAAGACATAGCCTGTACAACCTACACTAACCTTAAACTCCACGAATATCTTCGAACAATCCAAGTGTTACCCAAACAGCACTTGATTGACAAGCTATGGACACGCAGTCGCCTATAAACTCGTCAAAACTCAGTGACATGAGAGAACACTGCGAGTGTGATCTGTTCAGGATGAATTTGATGCAGTCAATCGGAAGCCCGCTGCTTCTGACGAATGTGAACTGCCAAATTCCAGTGATATTTCCGTATTTCGAAGTCACACAGTGGCACTTCCATGAGGTAGAAAGGCGGAGAGAATTACGACCAGTGAGAATGCAATATGTTGAAGGAATGTAGTTCCACTCACTCTCATGTGAATTCGAAATAAAACTCTGAACGAATTTGTGTGAGAAGCATACGGAGGAGAGAAATAGTTGTGTTCACGTCTAGTCAGATGACTGCATCACAAGTGTAGGAATGGATGATTCATTTGTTGCAAGGTTTATGATTGAATAGCAATTAGAACAAGCATCTGCCTCCCTACATCTTGTTTCACCTTCTCTACTTCATCACGCACAAAACAGTATGTTGGAACACGGCGATCACGTGGGTGTGCAGAGTGTGACCAGTTCGATTTAGAAATTAAACTGCACCACACGATATACAGATATGATAGCTGAAACCAAGACACAGATATATCCCTGTAAACCTCTTACACTGTCTAAGTGACCAGACGAAGTTGCAATGATCACATTCGTGATTGAAGACGCCTCGCTTGAACACTTCTGTTCGCCACAACTTCATATTGCACAGAAATGATAACACAGGTTGTCAATAACAAGTGAATGGACAACCTACTGAGACCTGTCAGTCTCGGAGTCTCAGTCTGATTTGCATTCGACTGAACTGAGCTTGCATAGAGTGGGATGAATACACGTCAGTCCGACTGACGACCACAGTGTGTCTCATCCAGCCGGCTTCATTCCCATCTACTCGAATCCAGACGAGACGTGATCGAACGTCAAATGTAGGCGAGTGACAAGAGACATGTGTCACCAACTCAGGCGACACAATGACAAATCACTTGGTTATTGGAATGAAATGAAAACACCACTTGTAGCCGCTTATAGCATTTCTTCGAGTTAAACACTGAAATGTCCAACCATCAGTCATCACCTTGAGTTCGACCGAGTACAATCGTCAGTCGAAATGCAGACTTTGCATCAACCACATACTTCTCATACACAAACACAAGAAGCATGTGACTCGCTTACCGATGCCAACTCCATCATATCAGTCATGACGTTGACGAAAATCACATCTGTATCTCGTTCCCACTACTCCATACGACATCCTGGCTAACCGATATCGTGGCTCTTCAAGATTATATTCCACTGTCACAACTGAACCATGCAAAAGGCAACATTCCGGTGTGTACTTTTTATCCAAATAAGCCTGGTTTACATGGACATGTGAGTAAGACATAGCCTGTACAACCTACACTAACCTTAAACTCCACGAATATCTTCGAACAATCCAAGTGTTACCCAAACAGCACTTGATTGACAAGCTATGGACACGCAGTCGCCTATAAACTCGTCAAAACTCAGTGACATGAGAGAACACTGCGAGTGTGATCTGTTCAGGATGAATTTGATGCAGTCAATCGGAAGCCCGCTGCTTCTGACGAATGTGAACTGCCAAATTCCAGTGATATTTCCGTATTTCGAAGTCACACAGTGGCACTTCCATGAGGTAGAAAGGCGGAGAGAATTACGACCAGTGAGAATGCAATATGTTGAAGGAATGTAGTTCCACTCACTCTCATGTGAATTCGAAATAAAACTCTGAACGAATTTGTGTGAGAAGCATACGGAGGAGAGAAATAGTTGTGTTCACGTCTAGTCAGATGACTGCATCACAAGTGTAGGAATGGATGATTCATTTGTTGCAAGGTTTATGATTGAATAGCAATTAGAACAAGCATCTGCCTCCCTACATCTTGTTTCACCTTCTCTACTTCATCACGCACAAAACAGTATGTTGGAACACGGCGATCACGTGGGTGTGCAGAGTGTGACCAGTTCGATTTAGAAATTAAACTGCACCACACGATATACAGATATGATAGCTGAAACCAAGACACAGATATATCCCTGTAAACCTCTTACACTGTCTAAGTGACCAGACGAAGTTGCAATGATCACATTCGTGATTGAAGACGCCTCGCTTGAACACTTCTGTTCGCCACAACTTCATATTGCACAGAAATGATAACACAGGTTGTCAATAACAAGTGAATGGACAACCTACTGAGACCTGTCAGTCTCGGAGTCTCAGTCTGATTTGCATTCGACTGAACTGAGCTTGCATAGAGTGGGATGAATACACGTCAGTCCGACTGACGACCACAGTGTGTCTCATCCAGCCGGCTTCATTCCCATCTACTCGAATCCAGACGAGACGTGATCGAACGTCAAATGTAGGCGAGTGACAAGAGACATGTGTCACCAACTCAGGCGACACAATGACAAATCACTTGGTTATTGGAATGAAATGAAA